GTCGGTGAACAGAGAACCGGGATCATATATACATCTGCTCTTGATGCATAAAATATATGTACACACGCAGTTATTTTGAAATATTTTGAATGGTGTATATCGTCTTTTCATCGTCCTTTGATGACAAGTCGATTATCTGGGCCCTGCCAGCCTGCAAAATTGGCGATTTGGATCGCAACGAACAAAATTGATGACACATCGGTGATTCTGCGGGTCCGGACCGTTCCAACCTGCAACTTATCGATTCTCATCAACAACGAACGAAATGGATGAAACGTCGATAATTCTGCAGGGTCCGGGGCATATCATGGATTTTTTCCTGAACAGTCGCTCGAGGACGCCCTTAAAGTTGGGGCCTACTCTGGGCTGCTTGGGCTTAAGGCTTTTTTGCCCTGGGCTGGTCTTTTGGGTTTGGTGACCCCTGGCTTTTAGGTCTCTGGCTTTGTTCTGTGTTGGCCTACTTGTTTGGGGTCGACTCTGGCCGGGCAGTTAGGGTTCAAAGGCCTACTGGGCCGGCCTCTACGGTGTGGCTGATTGGGTTGCTTTATCGATCAGGGCCTACCCTGCATGGGCTGGCCGGTACGGCTCAGGGCAGATCTGGGCTTGCGGGGTAGGGTTGTATCCTTAATGCGATTCTATCGAGATATGTATGTGCTTAGAGCCATGTGCTGACAATATGTTTTCGTTCAATCCGAACCCAATGCTAGTCTGACCCCAATGCTAAATGCTTTTCGGTCAATCGACCCCAACTGTTACTGCTTTTCGGTCAGTCTCAACTCAATGCTAGATGCTCTCGGTCAATCCGACCCCAATTGTAAATACTTTTCGGTCTATGTCACCGCAATGCTACATGCTTTACTGTCTATCTGACCCCAATTCGAAATGGTTTTCGGACCCTATACTCTGGCTGGCCTTTCGGGTTTCACGTTTGAGGGCTTTCTGGACTGGCCTTTAAAGTTTAACGTTTATAGGCTTGCTGGGCGGTCCTTTAGCGTTAGAGTCTGAGGGCTAACTGGGCTGGCTTTTCGGGCTTATGCAACGTTTAGGGGCTTACTCCGTTGGCGTTTAGGGTTCAATGTTCAGGTACTTCAGGGTTTAGTTTATTTTTGTTTTAAGGTTTAGGGTTTAGGATTTAGGGGTTTAGGGGGTTTAGGGTTTAGGGTTTATAAGGGTTTAGGGTTTAGGGTACATAGTATGTTGCCAGTAACCTACTATTTAGGTCACTGGAGGTCTGGGGGATGCCACAGGGACTGTCACGGACACGCCTAAACCCGCAAGGCAGCGGCAGAAGGCTCAAATCCCAATCCGAAACCCAAATCAACACACCATACAACCCAGGATTCTCACCGAACCCAATATGCTTCGGAGAGATATAAACTCGTAATAAGGTCCCTTCATTCAGGGGTTTTGGGTTCTGTGAAACCACCCCAGCATGTCGCGTTTACCGTTCTGGCTTTTAGGGTTTACGGCCCATTCGGGGCTGGCTTTTCGGGGTTTAACTTATTACTCTGGGCCGGGCCTCAGGGTTGACGGCGGGCTCATGGTTCAGGACCTAGTCTTGGCTGGCTCAAAGTTTAAGACTATGAGGGCGGCCGCAACTACATGCATAGGTTGAACGGAGTCAGAGGAAGCATTTGTGTGGGCTTGGCCAATGGGCACTTTCGAGAGATGCTGCACTGTGTACTTGCGTTTGCAAACGTGCCAATCGGCAGAGCTGTGTGTTGTCCGGAGAGATGTATTTAATGCCGAATTGGGGTTGACGTAGTACGCCACAGGACTTGAGTTTGTGAATCCACAAGCTAAAATCGGGTTATGGACAGGAATGTGGTTGTGTGGCCTACCCATACCCTACCGATACCCCAACAGATACCCAGCCTGCAGCGCCTCAATCTGTACACTTAGATTAGTAACCTCGTAAATATGCATATATGTATATATGAATGTAAGTATGTATGCGTGTGTATGTGCGTGTAGATATATGTATACATATACACACATATCATCTTATATCACACTATATGTATATATATATATACATATGCATGTATATGTGTATGCCCTGTATATATATATATATATATGTATGTGTATATGCATATGCGGTTCTCAGGTTTTGTTCGGCGGCCGCAAGTACGCGATCGAGTTGTAGGTTAATGGCACCAAAACGGGGTTTTGACGACAAGTCATATGTACATATGTATGGGTATTTATATGTATATGTCTATGTTTATGTCGGTGTCTATACATATGTATATGTATATGTCTATGTCTATGGTTTTACATATGTATATGTCTATGTCCCACTATACGTATACGCATATTTATATGTATATGTAAATGTATATGTATATGTACAAGTATTTGTATAGGTACGTGTACGTATGTGTATATGTACATGTACATGTACATGCATATGTGTATGTGTAGGTATATCTTTGTATATATGTGTATACATATGTGTGAAAAAAGTTGAATATTATAAACAGACAAATAATTAAATAAGTAAATAAGTGAATGAATGCATGAATGAATGAATTAATGCATGAATGAATGAATGAATGAATGAATGAATGAATGAATGAATGAATGAATAGCATGTAAATAAATAAATAGAAAAATATATATGCATGTACGCAAACTATGTCAACTATGTGGTCTGAACATGGGGTTGCAGCGCATCGTTTACTGGAGATTGAATAGGAAGTGTAATTTGCTGGGAACTTTTGCAACACAGTCGGCATGTGGCGCAGACACTTTACTCCAGCAGCCTTGATGGGTCTTTCGTTGGTCAGCTACCTCGCCTCTAAGTCCTTCAACGGAAAACATGCTGCACCTTTTTAGCCTTCGGCTTGTGCCACCACTCCAGCCTCCGTTTGTTCCACAACAAGACAGGACCAACCAGCAGTTGAAAACTTTTCATTCGGAATCAACGCCGAGCAAAATTACACCGTTCAAATTTCAAGAACCAGATTCTCGAACATATATATCATCAACGGGTAAGATAAAGACCAACTTGCGGTGCGAGACGGTTATGCCTGCTTTTAAAAGCCTGGTTGCACGAATGAAAAGAGAAAGAACAAGCAAGCAAGAGACAGAGTGAGGCTCATCGCAGCAAGGCATAGCCAGCAAATTGGCAGCTGAGTTTCTGTGTGGATGCAGGAAGTTGTGCCGGCGAATTGTCTTGCAAGGTGGTGCGAGATGCCTTCTACAGGGACACCATCTCGTCTAGTGCTGCAAGACTGCAGGAACCCTTGCGCAAGCGGATGAGCCCAGCGGTGTTAGCTTGCAAGTTTCGTGTGTGTTTAACTGAGCAGACATCTTTCCACCGCAAATGATGAATGGGAGGACATCAGTGCTGCAGTTTGTGCCCTGTTGTATGCATTGCTTGCCTGGGGAAGCTTCGATCTGGCTGGAAGGAGTCTCGGCTGTGATATTCCTAGCCAGACCAGTGCCTGTTGCTGCAGATTGCTCCGTTCTTGAAGGAAGCTCCCTCCGATCCCTGTTTCGCCGTGGCATGCGATCGACGGGCGCAGCTATGCCACCCGGTACAACAGCCTGAATGTGGGACGAAGAGAGTGCATGCAAGTATCGCCGCCAGTCAGCGATCGCCTGCCTGTGCTGATCTGTCTCGGCAAGACAGTTTCCGCGTTGCAATTGAACGTAGTTTCGGACTAGTCGAAGCCCCTCAAAGATTCAATGCACGACCGAGGCATGCAGGAGTCTGTCTAATGCAGTTTTGGTGCCGAGTTTTCACATCTTCAGACATACGATGTAGTGGGAGTCTAAGGGGAGGCCGAGGGTGCTATGTGCTCGACCGCAGACTAGTACTGTAACGTCCTGCTCGAGTGGGTGGTTTGACTTGAGAGAAGCTGATCAGGCTGGAGCAGCTTTCGGTGTCAAGTTCGACCTGTTGTCATCGATGCCGTCCGCGCGGTCGGATTCGCAGTTTGTAGCTTGGTGGACATATGGGGCATTGTTCGAAGTTTACCCAGTCTGAGCAGCTTCTGCTGGACCATAGCGTCCCGACACATGCTGAGAGTTCGAGTATCAAAACAAGCTAGATTCAAAGGTGCTCAGCGCCCTCTTCATGGCCTCCAATGCTCTCAGTTCTTTGTTGCTCCTGAATGTCTGCTACAACCGTGCCAAGGCTCGCGTGGCGTGAGGGCAACGGCAAAAGGTTGACAGTCAGTGACTAAAGTGGAAGCAGTCCCCATTCGCCTTAAACAGTTTTGCAATGAGTAGCGGAATCATCTGTAGAGCAGTGCAAGTTCCTCCCCCATCAAAAATTTTAATTTCAGTTCCCCCAATGCTTTTTGGAGGACCTTACGACGGCTCAGCAACGTGCGGCACGCCACTTGCGCTTCAATCCTTCGTCAGAGTATTAATGAACCGCAGCGAATTTGGCATCATCGCCTTGCTTGTGTCTGTAGGTAGGCGTGCAAGTTGGGGCGTACATCTGAGGTGTTCTTGCTGTTTTTGTTTTTGCCATGCTCGCAAACTGCCACCTGTTGGCGGTCCTGGTTGCTGGAGGCGTGTCTGACATCTGTCTTGTGCCAAAGCTGCTTGCACATCTCGCACAGTCTTCTTTTACCGTCGGAGTTCGCACCTGCGCATCATCCCAGCTCAGCTCCAGGATATGGCCCGGCGTTGCCGCTTCTCGCCAAGATTCCCTGCTTCGACATTTCAGTGTGTCTGGACGGTCCGTGCAAGAATGTCATTCCTTGACTGCCAACACAAGGCTGGACATCTTCCACGTCCTACAAGGTCGCGTGCACTAGCGAATGAAGAGGAAGCCAATTTCGTTAGGATCTCGCCTTGGTTTCTTCTTGTTTGAGCACCCAGGTCTGATCATCGGCATCTGCTTCAATCAGCTACGAGAGGTACTTGTTGAGGACAGGGCAAAGGAAGCGTAGAGCCAGCCCTTCGTTTTCTCCTTAACGAGATGTTTGTACATGCTGGCCTGTCCAACTCACCAGCAAAAGCGATCCATGTGAACTGTTGCTGGTACTTTTTGAAAGTTGGGAGCTCCGCACGCCGAGCTGAAGCACTTTGCTAATGCAAGCTCTACATTTTAGTTCAATGCTGTCCCATCTTTCCTGCACATGTAGACTGAGCAGAATGCGGAAACAGAAGATGTTCGTCAGCAGGGCCTGCGGTTAGGCCAACTTCGCCTCTTCGAGAAGTTTGTGCCACGCGTGCTGAAACAGCCGCGGTTTTCCTTCCTGGAGAGCTGGGCCTTCTCGGTTGCTCTGTGCATCAGATCTTTTGCACGAGAGGTTCACTTCTCCGAATTAGAGTGAAAAACCATAGGTTGATCTCTTGATGGAGCTTTGTTCCTCCACCCAGACTAAGAGGCTGGCCGGTGAACTTGCAGGCCTTAGCCAAGGCAAAGCCGGACAAGTGGATGGCCATGTGCCGTGATCGAAAATGGGGTTGAACTTATCTAAACTTTTTCAGCTTGAGTTCAACATGCTTTCAGATGGACACTTGGTATGGCTCTATGCTGATGAAGTAGTTTGAGTTCCGGATCAGAAGAGTTGTGAACATGCAGGCGAAGCCCGTGCTTGCACACATACAGTGGATCTGCGGATGGCAGCCGCCACGCTCAATCAGCACTTGCATTGATGCCTAACCTTCGAGGCCACAACGATCACTACTGGCTCTTCGATCAAGGCAACGTGCAGGCCCTGCTGTGCTGACATGCCTTTCCTCTGAACTTTGTTGCGGGCTTGACTGATTGGCGAATGGTTCTGGCTGCAGCATGTTAAGTAGCAAACATATGTCTCAGCATAGTGTAAGACCTTTGTGCTTCCCGACAGGGCTTTGAGCATTATTGGCTTTGCTGTTCTGACTTTGCTAGTGACTCGGGAGTTCGTGCATTGCTGTCGTCAACTTCCCGCTGTGACGGCAATTTGCGCACCGAGTCCATCCGAGTCCATATGTCGGAACAGCGCAGTAAACCTTGGCTCCTAGCTTCTCAAGCGTGCTGGGGCCGGTTTGTCAGAACAGCGGGACAGTACTGTAGCGGCAATTGAAGGCCTGATGCTGCAGCAACCCCGTCGGGAAGCAAGCATCCTCTCAATCAGGTGGATCAAAACAGAACACACGCACGCAGAGGTGCCGTGTGTTGTAGGTCATGTGATTCTAGATGCTGTGGTAGCAGCTTTCAGTTGCTAGGTTGGTTGTGACAAGGTGTCTTGGGAGCCTTGCTACATGCTTGGCCTTTGCCGAATCTGACTTTTGCTCAAGGTTTTGCCGGAAAGACAGGGTTTCCGTGCGAGTGGGCATCACGAAGACTGGTGAAACCATGAGAGCTGCATTGTCAGTCCAATCGTTTCTTCTCTGCGGGTCGTTCGCGGGGGACTGCGGGACCTTTATGTGGATGAAGCACAATCGCGGTTCAGCCCCCTGCATTGCCCACTGCATTCGATCTTATGTTCGAACTGGAGGCGCAAGATCGTGAACTGGAAGGCAAGCCGTTGGTGCCGACCTTACTGTCGAGTGCATCTCCGTGATGTGACGGTATGCGAAGGTCAAGCGCAGCGGAGGAACAGAGAAGTCGCCATGTTATACTAACAGCATTGAGGTGAACCTCAGTGAAGCCTCCTCACCTCATTCTTTCTCATCATTCATAGAACGTTTTGTCCCAGCGATACGCAGCGTGGGCAATTTGGCTACTGCTATTCACCAATCTGAGATGAGCAGGAGTGTGAACTTCGCAAAGGTCTGGACTGATCTTCCCCTCTTTGCCAAGTCCGACGACGAGATCCATGGAGCTGATTCGCAGGATTGCCATGGATAGCCTGTCTGGCGGATTCTGGTGGCTCTTTGCATTCGTGGAAAAGTCGTTTTAAGCGAGGCACTGGGGCTTTTGCTTGTCTCGGAAGCATGCTGCCAGCCGGTTTCGCTTCTGCCATCGGGACGATTATTCCTGCTCTTCTTTAGACAGCTTTAGACAGGTTTAGGAAGATGTGTCTTGAGTGAAGCAGTCCTGCCGGCCGAATACTGCTGCTAGAGGATGAAGCCGATGCCAATACCTCTGAGAAGGATCAGCCTGGCACTTGCTGTTGCGCTGATCGTGGGCAACATGCTGGTGGTGGCTGTTTCAATTTGATGATTCTGCCGAGGCTCCAATGTCCCATCTGCCTTGCCCTTGGAGCTTCATGGTTCGATGCATTCCAATGATGTGCAACCTCCTCGACACGATAGCACTTGCAATTCGGTCGCGTGCCGGCACTGGCCTGGATCCATACTTTGATCGCTTTCCGACACCGCTAGGTCACGGGCTTCTCTGTGACCCAGTAGCTCCACCGTGCGGACATACAGCCTGCCGGCGATGTCCGGGACTTTGGATGGCCGCTCAAGACTTTCTGAGGCCTGCACAGGGCTAGACCGTGTGGCCAGGCTTGACAAGAGCCCTGGACTTGCGCAGAGAGTGTCCGAAACTCAAGGACTCCTTGTCATGTTTGTGAGTTGCTTGGCCCACTCGTACCTAGTGACCTAGTGTTCTGCTTTGATTGGGGTTCGGCATGCTCTGTGTAAGCTGCTTCTGTTTGACTGTGCTTTGTCGCCACAAGGCCCATACTGTCGTGCTGCGACAACTTGTGCAGAGCTTGCAGTGTTCTGATCTCAGCATAGCCATCCCAGGCATTGCCCTTGACTGCCCATGTTCATTTGCACGCTGCAGATTGCAGGTCCGAACTTGCGGATCAAGTCTCTGAGCGGAGGAGAAAGAGCCGCAAGTTTGAGACGGACTCAAAAAGTTTAGAGACATCGCAATCGTGAACCTTCCGCACGCTATCAGACGCATTCTTGACCTTGGTCCTGCAAAGATCCAGAAATTGTCGTCTGCTTGCTCAATCAGGCTTGGGGTTCGGACGGGTTGATGCTTGCGAGTGGATGCTGGTGCTTGTGGTGCACATGGTGCACATACCTTGCCAGCACAACAGGGACAGGGACCTGCGGCGATTACGGATCATGGCATAGCCACTGCCTACCGCCATATCTACCCGAGACAGTCTTGTGCACACTTTGTCGAGGCTCCAACCCACAGACACGACACAGATCAACGCAGTTGCTTTCAGAGCTTTCGGCATGGTAGCGTCTGAGCCGCCGGAAAGTGGCTCACTCAAAAATTGCTGCAAAGTTCCTGAGCACCATCGAGCAGAAAGGCACTGACAATTTGGGGTGTCGAACTGCTCTCAGGTGGCCTTGGGCAGCCGTCCACCCTCCCACCACAGGCCTGCTTCTCGTGACAACGTTTGCTCAGACAATCTCAGACCCAGGTCCTTCGTGCCATCGTAAGAGTGTTAGTCGCGGCCTGGCGGCACGTGCCATAGATCGACACGGCCGGAAGCGCACCGAACTCCACTCGAACGTGTCACTGGATGTTTCTGTCTATTTCTGTTCTCACAATCGAGGCCACCAGGACAGAGGACTTATTTGTTCCCACTGTTTTTTCTCGCGATTCAGATGAACCAACTGTATAATGCTCGCCAGAGCAACATGGCTCACAATTTGTTCGACTATGAGACTGCGAGATGTGAACTGTGAACATGAACACAATGTTCGAAGCATGTCGAAGCCTCTTGAGCAAGCCGTAAACGTTTCCAGCTGCCCGTCGTGCTGAAGATGCAGCTACTGGTAGGGATAGCTTTCGAGGAAGAGTGTTGACTTGCATTCGGATGCAATTTTTGAAACTGGCTGCTTGCCCTGTCCCAACACTCCAAAGTTCGATTTTGACAGCCATGGCCGTTTGCTCCGTTTCAGGTTCAGGCTTTGGGGTTTGCTTCCAACCAGTCCGGGCCTAGGAATTGCTATTCCCAAATCATTCTTGGGATTCGGGTGTATGTGTGTTCGAAACTTGATGCCCATGCTGGGTGCGGGGTTCGCTCTTCAAGGTTTCAGGGGTCAGGCGAAAATTTATCAAACAACACCTAAATCTCTTGCATTTGTTCATGCCGCCGCGAACGTCACAGTTGTTGAATCCTTCCCAATCTCGAGTGGTGACAACACTTCCCCGGCTGGCTCCCCACGAGACTTCGGCCAATGCTAACGGAAACAGCAGTTTATTTCGGGTTTGCTATCTGCCATTGCTACCATACCTTCTCGCATGTAGGGTTTCCAAAATGGCAGATCGTTCTCTCGCCAGATTTATGCAATTTCATGCATAAGATGTTTTTGATTTCAGTTGTTTGCATGCGACACTCAGAAGATTTCCTGGCATTGACTGCTCTGTAAAAGCACGTGTTGAAGTAACTGACTGCAGTGCATGCCCTGGGCGCGCAGGAGTGCCTCTGGCCCATCAGGGCAGACCAGCAACCCGAGGCCCCACATTTGTTTTCATTGCCCTGTTGCACTGGTGCTGGCCATCAGGTGGTTCACACGGTGGAGGAGTTTCTAGAGATCTTGCAGATGCAGCGGCACCTGGAACGAGTAGTTGCTTCCGGCTCAGAGTTTCCTCTGCTCTTGATCTGGGCTTGTAGCAGTGGGGCAATGGACGCGCCAAAATGAAAATGTAGTCGGGTTTGGCAATGCCGCGCAGCTGTTGCTTGGTAGACTACTACTGATGTCGTCGTGGCATGAAAACAAAAGAGGGGCCAGAAGTGGCGCTGTAACTGGCCAGCTTTTAAGTTTTGGGTTCTGAGGCAGATGCCCGTGTGACTAGTCTCGCGAATCTCACCGGCCAATCTACATTGAAACGCCTCGACTCGGTGACAGGCGACAAGGTCTCTGCTTGTCAACAAGGAAATAAGCTTAGTTAGTGCGATTCGGCCATGGGGTCTCTCGGGGGAAGGGAAAGACGGGGTAGAAGGCAGGGAGCATACCACATCGAGGCAATTCACAACAAATGCTGGCTCAGGTCTTGCCCAACGGCATCGAGCTACTTGGCCAGACCCGCGCGCTGCCGGAAGAGTCGTGGCCTTGCAAAGTCGTGCAGGAAGCGTTGCAGTGGAGCACCGCGCCTTCAGGCTTTGTCAAGCAATTGCTGGGTCGCTCGGTGTCCGGGACGTGCTAGGGCGTCTCGGAGAACAAGTGCCGCGCCCAGCATCAAGCAGCGTCACACGGTGCATGGCAATTTGTTGCTCCCAAGCGCAGGCTTCGGCTCACTTCAGAGCGCCCGCCTTAATCGGAGTGAGTTGTGGGTTGCTTGGTCATTTAGTCTCCCCTCCAGACTTCAAGCAGCACTGCATAGTTCGGATAGTTGGGTGACTGCAGAGAGGGCCGACCGAGAGGTGACAGGAGAAGGACTTGTTCCCGGACGCAGGGGTTCTGGGCTGCGTAGCCTGCGTTTGCGTGTCCATGTCATTTTCACCTCGAGGCTCGGCTTTGGCACTACAGCGCCCGCAGCAAGGAAAAAGAGATCAAGGTGCCGCGAGCGGCGAGCGATAGGTGCTCCAAGGAGATGCCACTTGTGTTGGAAGGTGCCCAAGTCTCGACCTCCTCCAGAGACTTGACAGCAACTCCGGACGGCTTCCCACACATGGGACGAACTTGATGCATTGTCCAACAAAGGAAGGAGTGGATAAGAAAAGCCTAGCGCGAGTCCTGGTCTCGTCTCTGATATGGAAAGGTTGAAGTGCTGAGCAATCTTGCACAACTGTGACAGGCTGCTCTCCGGCAGGAGTTCCTGGCCCAGGAGAGAGAAGGCAAAGTCAAGGCCATTAATTGACCGGAAACTCGATTCGATCCGGCCCCATGCCGTGTTGAGCTCGGGTGTCCCAGTCTGATGCACCCCTCTACATCTCTGAGCTTCGATGGCAACGCAAGGCGGGTCCTGCGGACTGACGTGTCCACAGATTCTGGATGCTTTGTAAATGACATCGGTACCTGCATCTAATCTAGGCAACTCCACACTAGCCAGTCAGCTAGCACCACTACTGCTGGTTGAATAAGTAACCTTTTCAACTAGGAAAGCTCCCTCCGGGATGCTTGAGTTTAATACAGGGACGGCGAGGCGACTGCACATTTTGGTGGTTTTCGAGAGAATCCCCATGCTATGGTAGGACAAGGCGCGTTACGGTTTGGGTGCCGTGTTTGTCGCGTATCGTGGCGGGACAGGTGAGGTCATGAGAGGGCGTATCTGGAGAAACGGGACCCCAATGATGCTCATGATGCCTGCGGCCTGGCGGGCCCGGCGGAAGGGCTGGGGGCGGGTGTGTGTGTCAGTAGCTGCCGGTAGGCGAGGCGGCGGCATTCCGTGGAGCGCCGGTCCTGTGTGTGACCGAGGTAAATCTCGTCCCAGTTGCGCTGTTAAACGTTTCGCCAGCTGCTAGCTTCTTCGTAGCAGCATTCAGACCGTTATTTCAGTTTGTGTTGACAGTCAGCCCAGAAGAAGCCCGCTAGAGCACTGCAGAAGTACTTCAACATACGCTCACCATCACCATCATCACCATCATCACCGTCATCATCATCATCATCATCATCATCGTAGTTCTCCGAAGTCCTACAGCCAATCTCGCAAGCAAAATCCCAAACCTTAAACACCCCGAATCCTTCATGAAGCTTGCATGCCCGACGCCATTGTTCGTGAGGCTCTTCGAGGGGGAGTTCAGAGGCTTTAGGGGTGGCACGGGGTCAAGAGTTGCAAGGCGGCCGACGTGACGACACCGCGCGTTTCGTGACGCAGAAAACAAAAAAAGGGCTCCTGTGCCTGCTGCTCCGCAGCATGCGCCTTGGCCCTCGGGCAGCGAGCTTTCGTCCCCCCCCCCCTCGTGGGGCACAAGTTTAGCTAGCGAGCGAACTAGCTAGCTGACTGACTCACTTACTGACTGACTGCCTGAAGGCCAGTGAGTGAGTGAGTGACCGACGCACACTCGCACACCAATGTGTGACACACTGCATATACCATACTAGCTGCATGTGTAGCTAATTGGCGAGCTAACCAACTTATCGAACGAACTAGCTAGTTGTCAAACAAACAAACAACCAAGCAAGCACAAACAAACAAGCAAACAAACGAACAAGCAAGCAAGCAAGCAAGCAAACAAGCAAACAAACAAACAACCAAACAGACAACCAGCCAGCCAGCCAACCGGCCAACCGGCCAACCAGCCAACCAGCCAGCCAGCCAACCAGCTAAGCAACCAACCAACCAAGCAGTCAAACATTGAAACACAAAGAATTAGCAAACTAGCAGACGAATCAACCAACTAACCAACCAAGCAACCAACCAACCAACCAACCAACCAGCGAGCTGGCCAGCTGGACAGCCAGTGAGTGAGTGTAAGTGGGTGAGTGTTCGAGTAAGCGAGCGTCGACCAGCACAGTTTTTCCGCCCTCCGTCACAGAGTTCAAGGTGTGGAGAAACTAGTGCAGGCAGGTTACAACAGCAAGGAGAGCATAAGCTTTAGGATAAAGCTGGAAACAATTTTTCAAAGGTCGCAAAGGTCCGCCAAGGTTCTGACGTCTGATGGAAAATGGCTGCCCTGCCACGTTGGACTGCTTGGGCACTCAATCCAGATGTCAGACTTCTAAGAAGACTTCTTGCAGGCCATAAACTCTAGAACCCTCGATATTGCGACCCTGCCTGAAGGCCCACACGTCGTGACCACAACAACCTCGCACGTTCTGCCACTGCATGCTAAGTGATATTGCTCGTGCCTGACATGACTGAATGCTTTACCCACCGTTCACTGAAGTTCCAACACCCGCTACACAGCGAACACGAAGTATGCACGCCCGTTGAATTGAGGTTTTGTAGGCCATGCTCATGCAGCGGATCTGCATATACAAGACACGTCAAAGTACCAGACGACTGGCTTCGTTGCTCGGGCAAGCCGGGGTATGCTTGCAATCCAAACCCTACTAGTGACCAAGACAAGGTGCACAGGACGGGGGGGGACGGGGCAGGTCATGTGCATCACATCCTACACTCCTACACCAGCTGTGCTCTGAAAGATGATGCTGGAAGTAGAGCAAGACAAAGTCTTCGCTGACACATACCCGCGTCTCGAAATAGCTAGCCGGACAGCCATCGAACGAGCGAACTATCAGACTTGGTAACTGACGAAAGAGCTAACTAGCTAGCTACGAAAACTGACTAACTAGCTAGCCAGCTAACTAGAGAAGAAGCTAACTGCTACCTGACTGACTGATTAAGTCTGAACTTTGGCCAGCTTGCTGACCAGCTGACCAGCTGGCTAGCCAGCTATGCGAGCCAGCTAGCTGGCTGGCTGGCTTGCCTGCTTGCTCGCAGACCAACTATCTAAATGTATGAATGGGTAAATGAAATACATAACCACACATCTACAACGTTGGTGTATTTTTTGGCACGCATGCATACATACATACATACATACATACATACATACATACATACGCACACACAGACGTAGATAATCTAGGTGGCCGCTCGTTGCAGTTGGTCTTGCAGATTCTTGCAGATTGTCCCTGGCATGCTACTCTACATGATCGAATCGTGCAGGTCTCGCATCCACTCAATCCTAGTGAGTGGGTGAAAACAGAGCGCGCCTTATGCCATGTCTGAGAATCTGAGAATTGGGAATCTGCCCTCGTCCCGTAAAGCACTTGGGAAGCCTCAGGCCACCAGCTGCGACGTTTTTGACATCACACCATTTTCCAAGTCAGTGCCTCAGTGTCGTGGACATTGTCGAGATACCGGGGGAGGGCCGTCCTGTTTCTGTCGTTTTGTTGTTTCACCTCTGCTTGTAAGGCAGATGCCACTCTGGGAAAGGTCCGAGGGTGGCATCTTCGTGGGCGAGCGTGGTGCTGGCTCAGGGTGCGCTTGGCCCGGTTGGCGCTGAAATGTTCGGCATCTCTAGTTCTTGCAGGTTACACGTTGATCAGTGCCTCTGGTCAAATGTGGGTGGGCGCCTCATTGGCCAGGTGTCCATCAACAAACGTTTCAGCTTCCGAGGTAAGTGGATGGGGGGAGGTGGAGATTTCGGAAACCTTCTCCCACCCGGAGACAAGCACTCAACAAAGTTTTTGTTTGAGACACAGTCGTGGACTCCGTGTGCCAGCGCCCTAAACTCCTCTCGCGAAAAGAGCCAGATAGCAGAAGCTAGAGAAGCCGTTTGCTCTGTCGTACTTCCAGCTTCAGCGGTGATGTCATCTCCAACACGCAGCAAGGTCGCAACTGGTGCGGGTTCAAGCTTTTTGCACTGTGGCCTTGGCCAGTGCCCCATGACAAGCACAAGAAGCTCTGAAGGACAGTTTCCGTTGCCCCGAGAAGTGAGTTGGTTGCGCAAGGTCGGAAAGGCATCGGATATTGGACGAAGCTGGCAAAGGCAAGGAGCTTGGGCTGCTTCTCTGGCTACCAATGCTGCCAGTGCATCCTCGTAAAGGTGCGATTTTCCATCCTCCACTGACAAAGAGAGAGGACGCCTACTGAGCATATTTTGCTTTTCTTTACATGGCAAGACTTGGCAACAGCCTATGCGTGAGAAGTTTCAGACTGCGTCGTGATCGTTCAACACAGTGTACGACAAGCGTCATGTCCACCTTCTTTCTTGAAAAGTTGTTGTGAACAGCTGTCTTGCGCACCTCCTCAGATATGCATGCACCGGTATGCAGCACACTTTCCATCCATTGTCAGCCTGAATCAATCGCCTGACTTCCTCTCCTCCTCGCAGCAATTGTGCCAGCTCTCTGCTCTTTGCCAGATGGGTCAGAGACCTGCGGTTTGTCTCAGTAGTTTCTTTGCAGCAGCTGCCGTGCCGGCATGCTTCGACCCTCAGCATGTGTGCACCGAGGAGGACTTCCTCAGCCGCGCAAAAACCGTTCGGACCTGGACGAGATTTTTCCACATTCCAAAGCAGTCATTGTGGATCAGATTAGTCAAGCGGCATTGGTACATTTCGATGCTGGCAAGAACGAGTTCAGATAATTACCAGATCTGAAAGACCACCAGGTCGCTCTGGTTGGGCCTGGAGACGTCTGGGCTTGGGGCTCGAAGTGATAATTCTCGAGACCCACGAGTGCTCGTTTGCGCGTTTTCTTGCCAAGGTCTTCAGTGGTGGGCAGCCGCACACAGCCATGTGTGTGGGAGACGGTGTTAACGTTTGCGCATACGAGCCTGGCCTTCCAGCTGCCTGATTCTTCTGATTTGGTGACAGCCTAGATGTCTGCATTCAAGAGTAGCAGCCATGCCATGTTGAAGCTTGGCATAGGTACAGTGTTGATGTATTTGCAGTTGTTCGGCTCCTGACTCATACTTGCTCCTTGCCACCACTCGCTCACGACTTCCAGCATCTCGTCTCAGTAGAGGTAATTAGCTCAATCTGCTGGCCTTGCCAGCTTGAGTTTGCCGACTCATGGTGGACACTTCCGAGCCACAGCATGCAGCTTAGGTGCTGATGAGCGCCTATGTCCCTGGTGATGCTTGCCTCAGACACGAGTGGTCGACTGTGTGGCGTCATGTGCATGCAGTTTGGATATTGAGCCTGATCAATCTATGTGAAGCTTTTGATATTTCATACTAGAATACTAGAGAACCGAACGGTCTCGGGACCCTAAACTTTACCGAAATGCCTCACTGATCATCTCCGCACGGTTGCGTGACTTGTTTCATGAGTTTTTTGTTTCGGGGTTCCAGGCCTTGACTAAATCAGATAGCCAGCACCCCTTTCTTTCGTTTGCTAGTCTGGGTGATAGCGTGCTCTGGAAGATGCATGCAAGAACATGACCTGAATTTGTCGAGACAGTTGAATTTGCGACACAACATGTAGATGCTCCGAAACATTTGTTTCAGCACAAGGATAACCTGATGATGCTTCGCGTGCCTAGTTCTGCGAAGAGCGGCGTACCGATTTCAGTCTCTTTGCTGCAACACCAGTAGTTCATGCACCGGCGCTTCTGTCTTTATGCATGCTTGCTGAACTC